GACAAGCTTTGTCTTGCAGACCAATTAAAAGCCGCGACACTGTAAAAGGGACAATCAAGACGATCTCTTTAAAACAAAAGGGTTCAGACTGCTTTGGAATTGCTATACTCAGCTCATAAGCCAAAAGGCCAGCGCATATTCTCGGTGACACGCAACTCTACGTTCGTGACTCTAAATGTATAGTAACAGTTAACTTTTTGAAATTATCACACCTTGGAACAATGTTTCTGATACTGGTGATACTCCTGACGGTGAGAGAAACGGTGAGTCATGATTAGATTTATGTTGATAGCTCAGTATTAACTTTGTTTTACACACTGTCTGCCCGCCCGATCCGGCTTAACGGAATTTATGAACAAGATGATCCAAATCACCTTTGTTCGAAACTCAGCAACCCTCCCAGGATGGCTGAAGCCGTAACAAAATAATGTTCCTATTTTAGGGTTATTACCAAACTTTAATCGGCTAAATGACTTGGGAAGACCAAACATCGATCTTAACTTATTTTGTACGTAGCATTGCCGGGCGCGGCTGTTCTTAAACTGCGCTCATTACCTAATGGGTCTTTGGAATGTTGATCAGTTGTTGATAAGCGGTCATAGGAGTGTGAAAGACATGCATGCCAACAAGGTTAGCACTTCTTACTTCTGCTTGATATAAATTAAAATTAGTAAGAGCGATAGATTAAAAAGTGATGATAATTAATTAAAAATGCCGCCTGGAAAATTACAACCGCAAACAACTAGAACATCCTCGAACAAGGTTCGGAAAACGGATCTTACGCATTTCCTGTTTACTGTTTCCTTTTTTCTCCGTTTTCAAGCCGGGTCAGATAATTATGCCGATTGATTTCCTTTCTTTTTTTCCAGCCTGACATTTCTGTTTGAAAACAGTCAGATACTTTTCTAAGTTCTTTATAAGATATGCCTGCTTGAGTCAAAACACAATACCAAATGTAAGCGGAACACTAATGTGGAAGCGAATGATGTTTGAAATTTAGTTTGACTTTGAGTCTCGAAACATTCCCTTTAGAAATTTTCTACGGTGGCCAATTTCCATTATCAGTTCAGCTGATAAAACTGAATTGTCTTGTAACACCTCCAACCGACGCAACACCACAGCTTGTTTGGAAACTGACCCCTTTTGTTCATAATGAACTGCGCGCAGTAAGGAGTGCATGTTGAGGTCGCTGGCACCAAACAAACATTGCTAAGTTATGATAACAAAGAGATTGCTCCGTTTATTGCACTGAACTATGTTACTAGTGGGGTGTTAATAGCTTTGAAATAATAATAATAATGGGAACTTTTTTTGTGTTTTTAAATGTACAATTGTAAATCTCACTTCGTATAGGCAATTTACAAATGCTGCTTGAGATTGGCTTATTCAACACACACACAAAAATCAAAATTGCATCAAATCTGGGTTGTCCCAATTCCTATTTCTACAACAAAAGACGTAATATGTTGCTCTAATAGCTATATTTATCATTTTCTTGATTATGTAATAGTAATAATAATAATAATAATAATAATGATAATAATAAAAGATCTATACCGCTCCAGTATCCTACTGTTCAAAGGCGCCTACAAAAACTTTAACATTAACACTTAAGACAGCTAATATTAATTATAAAAGGCTTTTCTAAAAAGAAAAGTTTTTAATCTTATTTTAAAAACAGACACAGACTGAGCGGACACACATGTTAATTTATAGTGTCGACATTGACATTGTTTTTCGTTGATTCAGCGGCTNNAAAAAACAAAACAAAACAAAAAACAAAACAAAAAACAAAACAAAAAACAAAACAAAAAACAAAACAAAAAACAAAACAAAAAACAAAACAAAAGACAAAACAAATCACAAAATTTGTTCAAATTTGATAGGGTTTAACCTAATAAGTTTCCCCCAGCTAAGATAAGCCACTTTGAATTTGATTTTAAATCAACATTTCATTAACTTACAGAGTTCCACAGCCTTGAACTGCCTACCAGGCTATTACTTTGATGGCAAAGGGTGCACCAAATGCACCCAATGCCCTCTGGGTTACGGTTTAAAGAATCATTGCTCAGACACTGAGGATACTCAATGCCAGCCTTGCATCGAAGGATACGACTACTCAGATACCAGTGGATTAGACGAATGCATTCTGTAAGTTTTTCCCGGAATAAAACTCCTTTTGTTATCTCGTCGTAGAAGTTAAATGATATGCTTATCATGTTTTTTAACTGTCAGACACTTTCT